CATTATATTAATCAATGTGCTCATTAATGTCACCTCACTAATCCGTGTGTATAAATTTATTATAATAAATTCTATTGCTAAATTTTTCTTTTTGATTATATATAATTCTTATTATGCTATCCTCTTAGAATTGTATAAAAAAGATGCCTTGATTTATCACCACTACTATGTTTTTATCAACAGTGATATATATGTGCAGGAAAAATATGAAGAAGCCATGAACGAACTTGCACAAATGGAGAAACGTGCTGTAATGGCTGAAACGTTGTTGGATGCTACAGTTCAGTACCAGTGTGGTCAAGTGAAAGCCCAGCAACAAAAAGCTCAATCTCCAGGGTATTTTACTAGTTAAAATTTTCCTGTAGCATTGTGGTAAATTTGCCATTAAATATTGAGTAGTAATTTCCTCCCACTTGAATCAGCGGTGTCCATGCATTTACTCTTAGTGATATTTATGTGTAGCACGCCGACTTGTGAAGATCCACCTGTCAGAAGTGGCAGGCTTTCTAGACCATTTGGACTTGGTTGGCTTGACAAGAATAAGGTTAGTATGGATATCTTCTTTTACTTGACAACTCTACGGTTCAGTGGCGTTGATGTCTGCTTTTGTTCTGAATCCTTAGGCAAACCGTTGACTCTTGTTGAAAGAGGAATTCTAGGATATCATCATTGAAGCACGGACACCCACACGAAATAGGAAATACATATATAATTGTAAAGTTTGGGCAGGACATGCACAATATTTTGTTGGTTAATTTATATGCATACCGCACAATTCTATTGTATCTAAAATCCTAATGTCCAGAGTTTGATATTTACACTTTTATAACATCTCTGCGTCACAAGCCTATGCATGAATAGGTGCATTTCATTTTTAAAAGATAGTGAGTGGTATTTTTAATGTTATGTTAAAGATTGAGTGGTATGCATGTAAATATGAATGTTTAGGCATTAGATATGTAAATACATAGTAATTATGTGGATGCATGTAAATGCCTTTATTTTGTTTTATAAATTCTTGTATAAAATGCATAATTGTATTCTAGCAAGACAATCTTGCAATTAAGCCATAGAAAGCCACATCTAATTGAATCTGGCAATTCATAGCATACTCAAGGCAATCTTGAGTCATAGAAAGCCAGTAATATCCAAGACTTTTGATCTTTAGCTTCATATTAGGGTTTGATTTATGAGATCTGCATATGCACTTATGTACTTCTCTCATGGCATTAAGGACTTCATTGCTCCAAAGATAATGAAGTCACATCTAATTGAATGAATGCCAGTATAGAGTATCATTCATGATCGTAAAAGAAAGGGCTCTACTCTGGAGTTGAGCTGAGTGATCATCTGGGAGACTCCCCTTAACTAAATAATCAATGAAGTCTTGTTGTAAGTAACAAGCCTTGTCAATTGATGTTGTAAGAACCTCACTCGGCATGCTCAAAGATGTAGGCATAGGTATGTTGAAGATCATCGATGATAGAAACCTTCTATCTTGGATCACAACTATCACTAGATCTCAATTTGGGTTGGATAGCTCCTTGGTCAACTTAGCCAAGGCATCAACTACTATTCAATTATCATTATATTTTATTCAATATCATGTCAGGGATTGTAGTTATTAAAGCCATGACTCATTTGTGATAATTCAAAAGCTCGGGCTTTAACATCTTATAGATACTCATCACTTATCACAAGTTGAGAATCGTCATAAATTTTGATCCTCTTTATGCTTATATGAACGTCAATCTCTAATCGTAAAATTAGAGTATCATATTTTGCCTCATTATTTGTAGTGGCTATGTTAAGCTATTGAATAATGATTAATACCACATTTGAGAGAAACAAAAATATGGTCAATCCTAGCTTTAATGCAAGGAATGGCTCTGAATGTGTCTTTCATTAAGTAAGTCAACGTTAAAATATAACTCTCATTCTATACTTTCAAACTCCAGAACCTTCTCATTCGGGAGGTCATCCCTAAGGGGCTAGTCAATGGGTATATGGTGAGCAGCTAAATTGTCCACCAACACTTGACCCTTGATGACTTATTGAGGCACATGTGTGATATCAAACTAAAGTAAAACCATGGCCCATTTGTTTAGTTGACCAACCAAAATAGCGCGAGCCATCAAGTACTAAAAGAGGTTAACTCTCAATCTCAAAATAATGTGGTGAGATAGTATATAGTGCCTCAGCTTTTGCATCATGAATATTAGCGCCAAATAATATTTTTTAATTGGTAGATATTTCTTCTTAGCAAAGATGAAATGTTAACTTAAGTAATACAAGATATTCTCTTTTCCCTTATCATTAGTCTGAGCTAGCAATACACATACTGACTCATCCAACGTTATAAAATCAATGTCTTCTTTGAAATAGAGGTTGCTAACACATGGAGATTCATAAGATAATATTTTATATCATCAAACATCATTTAATACACATCATCCAAACATAAATAAGCATTTTTTCTGGTCAAGATGCTGGAAGGTAGGCATTGTCCTGCTAAGTTGGATATAGACCTATGGAATGCCAGTTTGCTGTGAAGATAACATAGTTGCGTTAAACTCTTATAGCATTCCATCTCTAAGATGACTTTAATATTATTGGGTTATATCTCAATTCTCCTATTTTGGGTAATAAAACTAATGAATTTACACCAATGGGGCACTTCAGAGGATTTATTTTCCGACCACACTTCTTGTCAAGCTTGAAGACAAATCTCAGGTTGATGATTTGAACCTCCTCTATATGAATTTTCACAACAACATTATTCATATAACACTCAACTTGCTTATGTAGCAAATCATCAAAGATGTAGGTCATCACACGTTGATAGGTAGCCCCAAAATTCTTCAAGCCAAAACACAAATCTTATTACAAAAAAGATCGATTAGGGCGTGAAAGAACGCATGCTTCGCATTCTATAGAGCCATCTAGATTTGATTGTATCCATGCAAGACAACCATAAAAGAGAATATATAATTAGATGATGTGATTTCAACCATATGCTTAGAGATCTGCAACAGAAAATCATCATTTGGACATGCCATATCCAAATCCTCAAAATTAATGCAAACTCATATCTAGCTTTTTTTTCTTATGAACTGATATGATGCTTATTAGCTAGGTGGGTTAAGGTTCCTCTCTTTTAAATCCCACCCTGCTCTCTTCAATGACCTTCTCCTATATATCTGGTTGCATCCTTCAATAAGGTTGCTTCACTGGGGCTACTGCCGGATCAATAATCAACCTATGCACTGGTATCTCAGGGTCTAGCCTAGGCATCTCGATGTAGTTCCACATAAAATAGTGACAAAATTCATGAAGAACTTTCATGATTTGCTTAGCCATTAGTTATAAAAATAGGATACTAATATATGTAGGATGAGGATCCTCATCTCTATCTTCACATCATCAAGCTCATCGATTGTCAAACACACACTGTCCTTGAGTTCATGAAGGGCATCCTAAATTTTAACACTAGGGATAGGGGTATCACCACAAGAACTTGTTGACACCATCTTATAGGAAGCATGAGGTTGTTTAGGCTTGGATAAACTTGAATGTTCATTGTATCCTAAACCACATATATCTTGAGATGATCTATTATGTCACATCCATTTACAAATCTTAGATTGATGAACAAAGAACATTAAGGGCAAATAACCATACTAAAAAATTTGTCAACCAACAGAGACTAGTAGTAAAAAAATAGAATTTTTTCTATCATTTCATTAACACCATAAAAAGAAAATATATCATCATGTTTTATAGGTGTATTAATGCTATAAAATTTTAAAAAAAAATACTCTCACCATGATTCTAGGAGGTATATCGAAAGTCTGTGGCTTGTCTATGTTTGACATGCTCCTCATGACCAAATCTTTATAGTACTATTAAGGCATTGGCTCAATAGTCCAAACTTCATTTGAAAGTGCCAAAGTGAACGAGTAATAGATTAAGAGCTTCTAAATGGAACATGCTCTGAAAAGTAATCTCCACCTCTAAATCCTCTGAAGTTAGATCTACCTTTGTCTCTGAGAATCGAGTGAGGCACACATCAATCTCTGACTTAGAGTCATCATCATCATCAATTTGGATTCTGATTTTAGTCGTCAGGAGAACAAGCAACTCATCTATAAGAAAGGTGAGGAATAACACTTGACCATCTCCTCTGATTTGTAACTCTTTGCAAGAGAGAGATGGGCCAACAGGAATAAAATATTGCCCCGGTGCCAAAGCATCTGATGTCGGTAAAGGGGGCACATAAAACTCTATATCCTCATATATGCCAACTTCATGGATCGATAACAGTTGCATGTCACATAGGATGCAAAAATTTTCTCCTCAAAGTGTGTGAAGGAGAACTATGGAGTCAAATGATATGAATGTGAAGTAAGAGGTATTGCTATCGATCACATGGAACTTAGCATCTTTTCTTGGCCCTTTAAAATATTGAGGGAGAACTATGGAGCCAAATGATATGTGGCCTTTTTCATTAAATCCATGCAGTATAAACCTATCAAGTCCTAAATGTTTTAAGTTGAGAGATAACAACTCAAGCATATGGGTGCTTTTTAATGCTCACCGATGCAATTAGATCCACTAATATACGATTGAAATGATTATGTATAGTTGGTTGTTTTGATCAGTAGTACCAATCCAACAAGATGTCATTGTCAGAGAAAGAAATGATGTGCAACTGTTGAGATGGGTCAAGCTCTTTCTACTTCACTTATGTGAAGTGAGCTCAGAAGATCTCAAGCTCTAATAGAATCGTCACTAAAGTCTCTCACACCTCAGAAGAAAGCATAAAATCATAGTAAACACTCAATAATGTTGGTAGCTTCTTAAGATGAGCCATGATATTATAATTAGCATAGCCAAACTAGCTTTGGTGATTCTTTTATTGGTCCCGAGGAACAAAGAAATTTTTAATATCTTGAGTGACTGCATTTATCCCCTTATCCTGAGTAGAATGTATCCTTACTCTAGGGGGAAGTAATTTGCCACTCTTCAGCTAAAATTACTAGATACCCTTGGCAGGGACTTAGAGAGAGCATCCCAATCATCAAACTAAATAGCTCAATCGATAGATTGCGGATCAAGATGAGATGAAGGATCCTTGTGACCTTTCATCATAATCATCATCATTATCATCATGAATCTGATAAGTACCACTCAAAGTAGGCATAAAAGGAGTCTCCTTCTCATCTTCCAAAATAAAATAATCATAAAAATTTTGAAAATAAGAGGAATACTTAGAAACACGATCTTTCATTTCATCAAAATTAATACAAAATACATAATGATCATTGTGAATATCACCGGAGAGTACAAACACACTCATAGATGCTAACAATACATAATCTAGTATCAACCTAAATAGCACATCGATAATAATAGATTGGTGGTGATATATGTCTTGCCTGCTTCCTCTAGCCTAAAAGGTGAAGGTAGGTGCATGCTGTACTTCCTCAAATTATTAAAGGCCTTCTGAATGCAATCCCTCTTAAAGGAATACATTTAGGGACTCCTCTCACTAGAGAGGTGTTGTTTTCTTCTTTAGGAAAGGTGGATGAGCCAACTTGACCGTCATAGTAGCCTTGCTGTCAAACAAAGCTAAAGCCAAGCTCTCATATGCTTTCCTAGAAGGATCAACGTTAGGGAATTTCTTCCTCTTACATTTATCAATGTCATGCTTGAGGACCAAGGATCCTGCATTCTATACACTTCCGAGAGCAACTTCGTAAAAGTTTTAATGGAATAGAGCTTGAGTAAAGTGGTAATGAAGCCTTTCAACTTGCTAAAAAGGAAAGACTCATGTTGCTCCTACAGTGGAGGCTTACACTGCATGCAAATTTTCCACCAATAGCAAAGATAATCTAACAAGGG